CAGAAGGGCAATGGGCACAAAGCGGATGAGTTATCCGCTTATGTTCGATCACGGGTGACAGTCAAATACGTTAGTGATTGTTAAGACATCGTGGTACAAGATAACTTCACAAATGATGGATCACTGTTTAGAGCTGGTAGATCCGCTTCGAAGGAGCATACGGTGACTAGGTTGTGAGAAGATAGACATAATTATTCCAAATGAACCGGGAGGACGCGCGTCAAGCGTGTGAATTGAAGTTACATTCAGTCTGGCGACTGTCGCGCGCATCTTCAAAAAAGTACAGGGGGCCTTGTGCGATAATCACTAATCCATCAACGTTTTTCCCGTGCCTGCAAACTTCTAACGAGCGCAAACCTTCGACGGCTTACGGTCATCCGAAGTGCCAAACTATGAAAAACCAATCAGGCTTTCTTCCTAGTCGTAGCTACATTGACCATATATAAACGATCAAATGAATGCTTTATTCCCGTCGTGTTAGGGCAGCGACACACAGCTACTTGAAAGCCGCCTTTGACTTCAATGATCGTGCTTTTCCGTGGGCGGGGCCTTTAAATCGATTATTGCCTTTTCGGCGAACACCGCAGATTACATTAACTACTGTAGGCATATCAGTTGTGCAAGAATAAATTGACGGATATTTTATTCAATCAACTTCTAAAATCACTGCGAGCAATCTACTCTATCCATCTTTGAATATAAACGCCGAGATATATCGCGCGATCCACGATCTACCGTCTTTGAACACAAAATTGCACCTCAACTGAGAGAAATTATGAATAAAGAATACAATAAAACTGTCCATTTTTGTGTGGATGCACACTCCGAAGATTTAGTACAGTAGTATGGAATCGTCGCTTAATCGATCGATTGTAACTCGTTATGAGGGTGCACTCTTCGCATTATTCCACTCAATAAAAAACATTTTAGTTGGTAAAGCTCTAATGTATTTATGGTTGATGATTTAACATGCTAAAAATGCACCTATTTTTGTACATAAAGCTAATGCCGACTTGACATTAAAAGAGAACGTACCAGAGAAGCCCCATTCTGTTTCAGACGTCCTCTATTGCGACTCTCAAGATCGGGTAAGGGCCTACGGGAAGCTGTCGCCTGAGCTCCCCTCAACAAATGAGGTTCGCCAGGTTTGTTCTATCTCTTCCTTCCTATCAGTGTGAAGGAAATAAGTATGCATGATTCCGTTCTTTTAAACACTTAGGAGTGGAAGTTCTACCGAGTGAATGACTGACAAATATTGAGTATCTAGAAGACACAGCTCACCTTGGGTCTGACGCAGCGGCTATACAAGCACCACAGACTAGACCAAAAGGTAGCGCTGCACACTTCGATATATGCATTACAGATTCAAAAAACTAAGTATTATTGAAATACTGGACAGATACACTATCGTATCTCGTGATCGGGCCGCGGACCCCATTTTATTGGAACGTTGAACGACAGACCCCCTGAGATTTTGTTAATCATAGGACTAGGCTTCAATAAGATGAGAATGAAACGGTGTCAGGAAAACTTTTTTTACTGGACACTGAATAAGCATTGATGTTCATTAATGTTAGGTAGGAAAAACCACGTACAATAATCCCTAATGTGTGATGAAATTATTTATCACATGCAGCACCGAAATCTTTGACGTTTGGTGTTATTGCGGTAAGCTGCAACTAGCTGGTTCAGCTTCAAGTATAACGCAGTATATTGTTTGCATTAGTTTAGTGCGAAAAGTTACTTTCCCACACACTAGTTGTGACAGATGGGTGATTCATGACAACAGCTGTCTTCCCTATTACAGGGCACATGTCCATGGTTTTAGACCAGAAAGAAGACAGCGACAATTTGTGAAACTCTTCCTGCACGGAATAATCTGATGTAATGCCGATTAATTTCTCATGCTGAAGCGACGTGAAAGTAGGAGGTACTGTTATGGAAGCAAATAGGTTCTTAACCAAGGAAAATATTTTAAGTTATCCCAAGTTTCGCTAAAGAAATGTTGAGACAGGATCCCTGCAAGGTCATCTAAACGCTACATAGTTTCCAGAGAAAGAAACCCTGGAAGTTCTGCGTCCACGTTCATCTCTTTAAAAATGCCTTTTAATGCCAGAAAGCTGACAAGAGCTCTACTTCGAACAGAGGTCACACAAACTTCTGTTTCTTTTGAAGCCTCGTACGTGCAACACATTGACCATGGTTGCAGACTTTCCCTGATCTCATTCATTTTCGTGAAGATATACGAAAAATAGGCGGGTCTTGCAAAGCACTTTCTATCAGTCATTCGGAGCAGTAAATAAAATTAGTAACTCATGAAGAAAGCGAAAACTGCTGTGCATAAATCTAACAAATGTGGTCATATTTTGCCGCAGTAGAGCCGTCTTACTTCGGTGTGGAACAGTAAAGATGTGTGATCACTTCACATGTCCAGCAAAATCTTAAAATAGTTGGTTGTTCGGAGGCCAAAATCAAGTATTTTACTGCCCAAACAAGGACAGTTTTGAGATTGGGTGGAATTTTTCTTATGGTAAATGCTTGTTAAGGAAGAATACATTGGCTGCTGGTGCACGTGTTTGCAGCGCTGTTCATTTCTGTCACAATGCCAACAACTTTCTTATTACTGCTTTGGCTCCATCAGTGCAAACATCGATGCAGTTGTCCCATGGAATGTTACTTCTATGCATAAAAGTACCCATGAGGATAAAATTATTCATGATATTGAAATTTTCAGTGCCAATAATGTTCTTCGGTGGAGGTTTACACAAAAGCATACCATCTTCCAGGGATAGTACGTGTTGGTATCTTACAAGCACGAGTAGCAAGAAAAGTCCAACCACATCTGTCGACTCATGCATTTAAAGAGCGAAGTGAGTATACCTGGTGGGTAAGGTTAACCTCATTATAAGCAGTTGCTACTGTCTTAATTCTTCGAGAGTTCGGATCATGTGCTAGTGCTATTACAAACACTAGTTTCGCTGACTTTTTCATCCAGCATGCATCTAGCCATTTTGACTACAAATGATCTGATACGTTTCTCGACTACTGTGTGAGGTTCTTCTGTCAGCGCAATACGATAACTATATAAGATGCTTCAGTAGCCTTTCATTCATAATCTGATAGAGGTGAAGCATGTAACGTTTGACGTTTAAAAGTGCGTCTCGCGTGCACTCAAAATGCCACTCTTTTAGCCTTTACAGACTGCATGCTTTTTTCGAAATGCCGCTGCGATTTTACGGGCACCGTGGAACTGTTCGGAAGCTCTTCCTTACACGAGACACAATGTGGACCATCGCTGGACTACCTAAAGCCGAAAGAAAAGGAAATGTCATTGTATTCACATCTCTTTTTGACTGGTCAAGTGCCTCCGGTTAGCACAGATGTAGATTGCATCACATCAGATAGTGCAATCACATCAAACATCTGTTTCTGAATTTGCAGAAGGCACTTTAGACTGTGCAATCATCACTACGGCTGAATTCGACGATGTATATTTATGTGACACATCTATCAACGTTGCTGTCTTCAGGTAAGTTTCCACGTGGATGACATAGTTACAAACGCTTAAATGGAAATAGACAAACAAAAGAGCACAGACCACCACGAATTTGATTACTAGCATAAGTTGAATTTCGAAGTAAGTATAAATTAAGCAGAACATCCCAATTTGGTAACGTTACACTTCAGTTCTCTAAGTCAAAAGATGAAAAGACGAGGTCTACATCAAAGTGAACTGAGGTCTCAGTAGATATTGCGCGTCGTAGTTCAACCACACAGCACACTCGTAAAACACTGAAACATTCACGCTTTCCTTCTGGGCTCCACTGGGTGGGAAAGCGTCCATGGGTCTGTATTTCCAAATTGTTCATTTCGGAGGATAGCAACTTTCGAAATCATCACAAAGGAGCCTTAAAACGCTATTGACTTTTCGACTCTCCCAAGAAGACATAGCCAGGGTTATGTGAGCTTACGTGGACGGAGAATGACCCATGCATCCTCTACCCGTTGCATCAGAGTACCATTATCACATTACCATCCTGATGTTTGACAGCTTTTTTCACTTACATTTTAAGTCTCATCCAAAGCCAAGTTGCTACTTGGAAAGCGTGTGTTTTACATGGGCTAATCACAAGGCTAACATAGACCGCCAGCTTTATCATTTTCCCATATAATAAAACGACCATCCCTAGAAAATTCTGTAGCGGAATTATAACATATTAGAAAATCCGCGGACCCCTTAGGGATCGCACGAACAAATTACGCAAAAGAAAGGCAAGCACGTGCGTGCCTTCTTCATGGATGGGGGCTTCGGAGTGTTCCACAATGGCGGTTGAAACCATTTCGGATATGATACGGTCGCGCAGTCAGTGACGCTACTGCATACGGTTTCTTGCATTTACTCTCTAATATTCATTCACTGTCAATCGCATACACTTCTGTTTCGGCTCTCTATTCCGTTGTATTCGGTTTACGCTCAACCACAAATTTGTGCGGTTTTAGCCTGTTGTTTGTCCGTCCGAGCGAGTCGTGGCCGCTGGAGCTTTTGCATTCTGGTGACCGAATCATAGTTGTTTAACTGTTCTATAGCCAACTGAACTGAACTAAGTATTACGCTGTGCAACCCAAGCGGACCACGTCTATGAAAAACCTACAGCTGATGTGCAAGTTTTAGAGATAAATCGCATTCAAAAGTAGCACGTGAGCTACAAATCACTGCATTCACAACTTTATCGGGGATGACGGGAAAACGGGTCATTGGAAGCCCAACGAATGGGGGAGGGGCAGGTAACTGTTGCGTTCAGTCGATCATCATATATCCAGAGTTGTTAGTGCATATTAATGCGCAAGAGAGTAAACAGAAAAGCCTCAGCACCAGAGAGAAAATAGGAGTGTAATATTAAATCAGACGGGAAAATAAGTTACGCGAATGAATGATCTCTGTGCCGTAGATGGCAACCATGGATCTGGTGCGAGTGGAAGCAAAATAGGTTTACACTGTTCTACGATGGTTCGGATGGCTTGAGCCGAATGCGGACACGATGCCATGAGTTTGTGAGGAGGCCACGCACATTCACGGACCCGTTGCACGTTTGCGGTTGCACTGCGTTGGACGAGTCGCGTGCACAGCAAGCCAATTCGACGAACTCAGCATCGTCTGTAGGACAACGGGATAAAGATAAATGCGCCAATATAAGGTGGGTGCAAGTGTCATACACACCGGCGAGTGGAGCACACGCAAGCAAAGTTTTTCAACTACAAGACATTCTACAGATCGTGATAGTTGCAGTCTCATGTTGGTATGTGGCGAGACTAGAGTAGTTGTGCACGGTGGATTACGTTGCCTCGGCTCATATCACCGAGGAAAATTGACACCCATCTGTATGTGGTCTGCTCAAGCCGGTAACCAGAAAAACGTAGGTTAGGAAACCACATAGTGTATTATTTGGTCTAATGCATTAAACATCAATACTCAACTAAGTGTGAAATATTTCAGTGGCATCAAGTGTTCTCGAGAATTAAGTTGCGCAATCCTAGGATACCAAAGACATCCTAACGCTTCAACACAATGGCACGTTACGATGCAGCAGGATCGCTAATGAGGGGACGTTGCTTTGGTTGGTCAGATACGACAGAGTGATGAAACAAAAACGCGTGAGAACCAGATATGTTATGGATGTGGCCATGTTTAAAACTAGAAAGTGGATTGCTCATTTGGACGAGGAGCCAACAATTCAGAGCACTCGGTCATAGTTACTTCAAGCCATGGGACGGAACTAAAGAACGTATTCTGTGGGATCTACCTCCGGGATAACTTCAGTCAATGAGTTCTAATGAGGTCAAATCTGGTAACAGATAGCAAAGTAGGAGGCAAGTAACATCCCAGCTATCTAGGGCGAGAAGTCAGAAGTGTCCAAACAACAGTCTGATAAAAATAAATGCAAACCGGAGAACGATAAAACCTAAAATAATGTCATCATGAACTCACATGAGAGAGGCAGAGACAAAAGAAAACCACGGTACATGTGCCGTTGATCAGACCTCCATAAAAGGTGGGGCAGCATCCTCAGTCGAATGAATCTGTTGTGCTCCTCTCTGAGTGAGGGTGTCTAACACTTCAGAGCGAATTTTCGTTTGGCTTCTTTATGCTATTTACCTTCTCAGTATCAGGCCCTACAAACGACGAACGAAGTGGGGATTGACCCGCAGGCATGCGTGAACATCCGGTCGAACCGGTGTGCTCTGTTACATACGCACTATGGCCTAAACTATCATGGTTAAAACAGGAACAGTGGCCTCAACAAACAAGCGCCAGGAAATAGAAAATTAAGTGGCATATTTTCAAACAACAAGAACAGCGTTCGACATCGCATATGAACATCGAGAAACACTGAAACCCAAGATTCAACGTTGATGGTTCAAAGAAGTAGACCACCTAATAACATCAAACAAGCTACAAGCAAGGGTTGACACAGAAGCACATATCGATGTGCCTTGGTCGAAATGTTAACTTACCGATGACGTAAAGAACCAAAAATCTCGCGCGAACTTGTTAGATCTTGCATAAGATGTGCGCAAAAGCTGACAGCAAACCGGCTGTGACAAGCAGAGCGCAAGTGTAGCACCACGAAACATGCAAAACTGCCAGACCAGGGTGAACATATATGGGCGGTACGGTGCGTATTGGATGGTGGATGACTGACAAACTTTTCGGCAATACGAAGAGAGTATTTTGTTTGTAAACCACGGTGTCGTGAGCACATGTATACCATCGTAGAGAAGTTACAGGACTTGATAGGCGTACTAATAATAAACCGACCGGTGTGAGATAATCACAGAGATTGTGCTCATACACTTATACTCAGCCAGTGTGTGCTCAAACGCAGAAAATTTCACTCGAAGTGATTTCCCTGTCTCAATCAATGTATAAGCTTTCTTGTCGAAAAGAAGGACGTTAAAGAACTTTAGCTAATGTCGGTATACCTTGGTCATATGTATACTCGGTCAGATAACAATCGCGCCGCTGAAGACACATTTGGCAATACTTTTATCCCTTGCAAGTAAATCAGTAGTACCCGCTCGCCGTGCTTCGTGAGCCGTCTGCGGCTAGCTACCTCACTAGTTCCACTGTAGACATATCGAGCTTCGTCAGCTTAGGTGGCAGATTTGCGCACAGGGTTGTCAGTTCGCAATGAAACAAAGGCAATACGACTGTCAAGCATTTCTTTGAAACATTGGTATTTGTAAGTCTGGGAACGGTTGAAACAAATCTGTTCTACAATAAGATTGCCATCATCAGTATTTTCTCTATAGCTGAGCCACCACCGCAGGCATCTGTTTTAGAATTGCCGTTCACTGTGACCGGGAATAGCCACCGGATGCCCACGCTTACTGAGGAACCAAGATTAATCTGGGCTCCACCGTTGGTAGTTCAATCTACATACCTCTCATCTAGCGTAGATGAGAGTAAGAGACATGAAAATTAGAGTCACGATTAATTCCGAGCTACGCACATCACCTTAAAATGCGCGATTTTCGGAGACAATTAGGGCTAACATGCGTACCAGTCATACACAGAGAGATGGCTGGACTTCTGTTCGTTTACGTTATGGAACTAATGTTCCGGCCTAACATTACAGTTGGGACTGCAAACCGTCTTCTTCGCTAGCGATTCGTGGGCTCAGGGAGTCAGTACTCGAGGTAGCGCCATCGCAGTGGTGGGCATGCTGTTTGCACTCGCATTCAGCGCATATGGATTTGGCACACTAAGCGGGTAGAAACGTCTATCATGTCATACACGTTCCAGGTACAACGTCAGCTTGGTTTCAGCAACCGCAGAGTTGGCGTGAGAAGAAAATATGGTATAGCGAGCATTTTCTAGTTTCGCTGATAATTGGTAGTCAAGCTTTTTCATCGATTTTTTGATGCAGCCTCCTCCTCGTGACCACTGTGATGACTTATCGGATCTGTGCGACTTCTAAACACTAGCCACATGGACGGCAGTAGATATGAATGAAGACTATGAGACTGGCTCCATTTGCATGTGTATTTTCCGTGTCAGATATTTCCGTTTCCTTCTTTAGCCACTGTCAGATAGTATTCCCCATGTGATGGTGTATTATGACAATGACGAAGTGGGTTACATTATCGAGAACAAACGTTCGGCAACTGTTTGATCAAGGTTGGTTAAACGAAATCAAACGAGTTGTTATTAGCAGCGTTACCGAGCAAGCAGTCCGTTCTGGTGGCCACAGAAAGCAACTAGTGCACTTCAAAAGAAGTATTTATACGCTGGTCGCCGTTATGGCATCACAAAGCAAAGCATTTCGGGATTAAATAAATAAATGTATTGTATATGGCTCGAATATGCGAGAAGCCGTTCCCAGAAGGGACGGATCAAATAATGGTACAGCAGTTTCATATCATGGTATAATAAATTTAAAAAAATGTGAGCACAAAATGAAAATTTGTGTAGCGCGAAGCGGTCCAAAATATTTACATTCCTCTTGTTCTATCGTCTGACAAGTTTTTAACAGTCACATGAGAGTTGATCGCACATGCAAAAAAGAGAGAATAAAGTGCTGCGGTCCAACAAAATATAACCGCTTGTGCACTTGACCACATGCATTTTCAGGCAACATTAACTCCGTTCTTAAAAGCGTTATCTAAGGACTGTGCTGTTCGAAACATTATTATCACATTTTGAACGGTTAAATGATCTTTTATCGAAAGCTTAAACAAACACAATGTGCAACAAGTTCTGATAGCTCTTGGAAGTTTGTTCCAAAGCTTTGAGCAGTGTATTAAGAAGAAGCGCTCCCTAATTCGCGTATTGAACTTTGGAATCATGACCGTTGTCTCCTTATTTCGTAGCTCGTATCTAGTGTTAACGGCCATATGGACACAGTTAGCATAATTGTGCATGTGATGGTGAATTATTCTGTACAGAAAACACAAGTTCATCTTCATTATCCGTAGCCAAAGTGGGTCAAGTCCAAGTTTTTCACTGCGCTCTCTGTAGGTCATCTTGGAGGAATATCCGCACAGCTACTTTGTAAAGCGTCGCTGTACCCTCTCAAGAGCATGCTGGTCAGATTTCCGCAGATTCGACTGTAGTAGTGAGCAGTATTCCATGCCAGGTAACACATATGTTTTGTAAAGCCAGATACGAGATTCTGTGAGTTGAAATTTATGACAGATATAGCCAATAGTCTTCATGGCTTTCGAAACTTGGAAGTCACAATGTTCCGAAAAGTTGAAGGTAGTGGAATACCGCCCACCCAAGTCGCGAATCACTTTGCACTGTGATATAAACGTGCCTTGTAATAATAGACTGCCTGGTGGAACTTCGCATTCGTACGACAGAATATTGCACTTGTCCACGGAAAAGGACATCTGCCACAGTTTGCTCCAAGATTCAAGTGCCGATAGATCTTCCTGAATGTGACACAAGGCTGCGCGGGTATCTGCACGTTCTTGTGAGTAGACGATTTTAATGTCACCAGCAAACAGAAAAGTAGCACCATGTCTTATTCTATGAAATACATCGTTGACGTAGAGGAGAAAAAGAAGTGGACCAAGTACACTTCCCTGAATTACTCCACTGGTGACTGCTTTCGGTTTAGAGACACGGTCCCCAATACGCACCACCTGATGTCTGTCAGCTAGGTATGACGACAACCAAGAAAACATTGGTTCTCCAATACCTATTTCCTTCAGCTTGAGGAGTAGTCTTCGATGCGGCACTCTGTCGAATGCTTTTTGCATGTCTAAGAACAGGACAATAACACTGTTGCCTTTGTCTATGGCAGCCGCTGTGTGGTTTAAGAAGTCTGTCTGGCATGTCGCACAAGATCTGCCCTGCAAAAAAACGTGTTGTGAATTGTTGATGACGTTTTTCTTATTCAAGAATATAAGTAATTCATCTTTCACTATCCTTTCCGTAATTCTAGATATTACAGGTGTGTGATTGATGGGGCGATAGTTTTTAATTTCGTGAACGTTTCCATTCTCATGCCGCGGGATAACAACGAAAGTCTTCCAGTGATTAGGATATACTGCACTGTTAAAAGAGAGCGTAAAAATGTTGAGCAATAGAAGAGGCAAGTCGCTCCCACCGCTTTTTAACAAACAAGGGGGAATTCCATCAGGTCCTGG